CTGATTTTGTCAGAGGAGTTGAATAACATTCTGCTGTAATCAATGCCACGCAATTCATCCCTATTTTTTCTAAGCATTAACAACTATTTTACTAGTGGGTTTTTTATGAAGCCAAGGCATGATGACAGACTCTTAAGTGGGCTTTATCTGCCAAATAGCGTAATGTATTTTATTTTACGTATTGCCAGTAGTCTGTAGAATAACATTAAACATGACTTGTTACTAATGAGTCACAGTGAAAAATGACAGACGTCTTCTTGGCCGGCAATCAGTACAGACAAATATCCAGTAAGACTGGCCCATTTCACGGGTTCACAACATTTAATCTCTCTCCTATTGTCTGCATGAAGGTAATAATACTAAGGATAGAGTTCAGACCCTGTCATGCCTCAGAAATCAGCTGAAGCAGTTACTACCGATGGGAAACAGCTTCCCAAAGTTTTATGTCGCTGCCCTAACTGTCTGCAACCTAAAGGGTTGCTGCTCTTGGGAGAACACAGACACATGCACTTAAATAGGTAGTAGGGAAGAAGGGGCCGGCATTGCCTACCTCGTACACCTCCTACAAGTTACGGGCTTCCTACTCTGCTGACATTAGTGCTTCGAGACAGAAGTGACTCACTGACGCTGAGCCACAAATTTATAATGTCTGTGTAGACAGCAGTGTTCAGATGAGGGGATCAGCTCTCTTAGGAGATTCTCTCTGTTCAGATAAATCCTTCCATTTCCACGAACCTTTTGCCAGTTTTTTTTGCACATCCTTAACCACTAAGCAATTCTTGGTAAATTATCTGTTTACTGTGCACAGCTTTTGGAAGTCTTCTGTGTATCTTGGAGCTCTGAGCCTCTAGCAGTCTTCCCGTGGGAGGGTTACACACATTCTTAGTGCTGAGATACCCAGGACGGTCAGCGCTGCCTAGCGTGCAGCTAATACGCATCGTTATGTACAGTGCAAGCATCTAACACCTCCTGCTCAGACAGGTCACCAAACTCACCACAGGAGAGAGAGGTGCTGTCCCTGGGTCATTCGTCTTTTTTCCAGACGGAACACGTCAAGTTCATCTCACCAGTGGTGCAGGCGCTGGGTGAATTGTGTGGAACTGGGGTTAGAGAATAGCATCTCATTCCTTCGGGGACTCTGACCCCTTATGGAACCAGCCTGTGTAAGTTAATATGTTGGGGTTCAGTCCCCTTTTGGGCAGCAACTGAAATGTTTGCTAAGTTCCAGTTGGTCAGAATGTGCAGTTGTCTGAGTGACAGCAAAGGGCTGAAGCTGCTGGCGTTGTTGAGGCGCTCACTGGGGAGAGCCTACAGCTGACACAAGCATGGGATCCTATTTTGTCTACAGGATGCCTACTTTGATTGGTGAGGAATAACCAACCGGATCTAGGTCCAACCTCTGAGAAGCAGATCAGCTTCAAAAAGATCATGAACTAGACAAATCTGCTCTGAAATCCATTAGGGGCCAGTAAACATAGGACTGTGCCATTCCTCAGTTTCAGGTAGAACCATACTGACAAGAAAACTTTAATCAGGTAGGATGTCTTTACGGAACTTGGCAAGAGTTTCTTCTGCTGTCTGTATCCTGTGGGATGGTACAAGCCTACTTTCCCTCGTGTCCTGGTCCCAGGCAGCAATCAGCTGCTCTCCCAGGGCAGTCTGTAAGATTTTGTTTCATTCCATACT